CATTTTCTCTCCAAACTCCTTGGAGACAGTGGTATGAGCAAAGCAGACATCACTCATATCTACAGTCTTCCTACGCTATCAAAATGCTCAGGGCAAGCTGGCCATGCTCAGGTGCTGAGAAATGACCGTCTCCACGTTCCTCAATGCCTGCTGGTATTCATTTCATTTTTTTTCCAACACTCTACTTGCAGCCAACTGGGAAGTGTGTTTGTCATATCTGGAAAGAGCCCTGCACCCACCTGCCCACATGTTGTAGGATACTGTGTTGGAGAAAGCTGGGTAGATGCAGGAGAAAGAAAAGGGAGAAAGCACGGACTTGAAAGACATAAAGAAAAAGCTGTAGGGCAATGCCAACATTGGCCACTGCCCGTGTTTGCCCCGAGAAAGATGAATGCCTCAGCTTTACAGCACCAAAAAAGACAAGAACACTCTCTCCTTGCTTGTGCTCTGGCCTCTCCAGCAAGCTTTGCTTGCAGAACTGTCTGCGTTCAGCCTGTGCAGCTGAATGTGTTTCCTGCTTTTTCTCCCCCACTCCTTCCTCCATCATCGCCCAGGGGCTACTTCTCCTGCTTCTCCTCGCTCTCTGTCAAGCAGTGGGAAAGGAGCAGCCTTGTTCAGCTGCCTGCGATTACGGAGGCTCATATCTGCGAGCAAAGTCTCTGTTTGCAAGGGAAAGACCTGAGATCTCTTGGGTTTATGGAGCTGAAAAACATATGTTACCACTTTCACAGCTCACTTGCCAAGGAGTCCTAAACTTTGCTCTCTGACTGATGCATGTTTTCCTCCTTGCTCTTTGCTCCCGTGGCTTTCCCAGTGAATGGATTCAGGTTTGCTGTTTCTCTCCTCTATCCACTTACTTTTGCCTGGCAGAGATTGGCAAAAATTGCAGACAACTCCTAAATTTTAGGAGCACTCTGCTTCAAATCTAGATGCAAAGCAAGATGTAAGACCCCTTGCTACCTCCTGGCAATGACACTTGATGTGGTCTGAGGCATGGCAGATTCAGCCAGACCTTGGGAGAGATGTTTTTTTATGGCTTCTGAATGCCTCACTGTAGCTGTAACAGCAGGCTGGTAGTTTGTCAGCAAGGAGGAAACTGTGGGATGGATGGTCATGGAGAACCTGAAGAGTAGCTGAGGTGTAAGGAGGGAGGTTGCATTAAATTAAACACAATGTATGACCATATGGAAGTGCACCTGAACCTGGGAGAAGGTGTGAAGGTAAAAGGGAAGGAGTGATGCTTGTCTGGAAGGACACAGATAAAGAGAAGAAAGAGATGCCAGGAGATCTGAGTACACTTCGAGCTGAGAAAGGCCTTTCTGGCTGCCCTTGTGTTTGCCTTTGCCTTCCTCATCCTCATATGGATCTTGTCACCACTAAGAGGGGTTTCTCCTGGAGTCACCACTGAAGTGTTTGCTGATACCAGCAACAGCACAGTGTAAATACATGGCAGATACTTGCATCCCACAGAGCTGCAGAGGGAGATGAGCTCTCGTTAGGAGTCACCGCGTTCAGGGTGAAGTAGCCCAAATATTTGGTGAGTGGTCTCTGGTTTTCCTTATCCCTGTCAACTCTTTCCTTTGCATCTACACACAAGCATTGCCCTCTGTCCGGTATCTCAAGCATCTCCTGTCCTTTATTCCTCAGGGGACCCAGCGGTCCCCTACAGCTGTGAGGCAGAGTGGCTCCAAGTGTCCCATTTGTTTTTTCCTATGCAAGTCCCATATGCTCAGAGGGAGCAGGAGCAGCCCTGGGTCCAGGCTTGACCTGGGGCTTGGCAGAGTGGTTTCTGCTTTGGATGAGAGCTTGCTGATCCCACTAGATGTGACATAACAGGGATATTAACTTCCCTGGTCTCTACCTCTGTTGGTCTCTGCTTCTATTTCTGGGTGGGTCTGGCTGGTGACTCCAAGGTCTTTTGAGCATGGCCACTTTTCTTTTGAGCATGGGAGGATTTCAGCCACAGTAGCTTTCATCCCCTAGTAAGAACAGATGTTAGCGAAGAATGGGAGAGTGGTGGTGTCTTTCTTATAAACAGCTCCAGAGGATTGTTTTCCTGGGCACAGAATTTTCAAACTCGGATGCCTAAACTTAAGCCTTGCAGATGCTACTTCCCCAAATTTGGCAAGGGCTGGGTGTCACCATGCCCTGAGGACCTTGTTCGCAGTGCCTGGGCTCAGCTCTTTGGATCTCTTGATACTGAAAGGTGGCCTTGCTTTAGCGGTACTGCTGAACATCTCGGACAACGGGGTCAATGGGGATTGAGGGGATGTGAGACATAAAGGTTTTTGTTCTACTTTGATCAGCCCGATATTTTTAGAAGGGCTATGGATTGATGGAGGTAGCTGTGGAAAGGAGATTGTGTTCTTCTCTTCCTCTATCCTCAGCCTCCCCTGCAATGAAGGGTCCCTTCCCCAACAACCCATGAACTTGGAGAGATCACTTACACGGGAAGACTAAGGCAGGAGTTCATTACATTCTTAATTACAGAGATGTTCTGAAGTGCTCTGGTGCATAAAGCTGAAAAGACCTTTCCCTTGCCACTGGAGGTGAGTTCAGGGTGAATTATCTAACGTTCAGCTGACCGAGGCCAGACGATGTGTTTAATACATGAGAGAAACTGGATGCTGCCAGTGTTGAGTAGCCTGTGCTATGGGGGCACAGGTCTGCTCTGGAGGGGCTGTGGGTTGTTCACCACGTCCTGTTATGGCTACCATGTGCCAAACCCCATGGGAAATGCAAGGAGAAGCCGTATGAGGATACTTTGAGGCAGAGAAAACATGAACTACAAGGAAAGACTAGAAAAGCTGGGGTTGTTCGGTCTAGAGAGGGCGTGCGGGAAAGATACTGGAACAGTCGTGAAATATGTAACAGGAAAAGGTTAAATGAACAGAGCACGAGGTAGTGGGCTTAAACTGTACCACAGGAGTCTAGACTTTGGGAAGAAAACCCCAAAAACAAATCACCAAAAATCCTTTTTAATGTTAAAGCTGGTTTGGACTGGATTAGCCTGTCTTGGGAACTGGTGGGACCTCCATCACTGGCAATTTTTCTCAGGGGTAGGCTAACACCTGTATTTACACCTGACATGCTGCTGTAGCCAGTCAGATGGAGCGAACAGTGTTTTGAGGCCTCTGTTATATCCGTTTTCTTGTCAAATCCTGTGTGCTCATGGGTAAATATTGATGTGGAGCCTCGTGCCCGCACCGGGAATGTGAGCAACAAACCTCATGGCCTCCGCCAGCAAAACTGCTGATTTTGATCCAGTGTCCTGAATTCCTTTTGCTGAAAGAGAAGAGCTGATGCCATGGTTCAGTGATAGGGAAACTCATGGTTTAGAGATCCTCGTAGGAGGTAACAAATACTACAACCCCATGGCACATGACACCCTTCTGGTAAGACCTCCAAAAGTTCAAATATATTCAAAAGACGTGGCTGGGGTAACCTGGTAATTGCTGGGTTTATACTAGGAGTGCTTTAGACCATCTGATGATGACAGCAGGATCAGCTGCTGTTTGCACCACTCGCCGGTGGCATAACATCCATATCCCCCCATCTGTTCTCTGGGTAATTCAAGAGCAGGATCATCGTCTTGCCACATGAGATTGGCATCAATTTTTTACTACAGGATGACCTACTGGTGCCCAGATCCGATACTGTTGAGCTTCTAGGGATGGCTTGACCCCACCACATCCAAGAGTGTGTGACTCCCTGTGACTGTCCTGCATGGGCAGACACGTCTGTCTCAGGAAAGCATTCAGGGCATGGCACGCTTGGGCACTGCTCGCTTAGTCGTAGTCCAACCAGAAACCCCTTTTGTTTCATTTCTGTCCTTCCTCCTTGCACTCCAGCTGCTAACAGTCTGGAACATTGGGATAGGACATTGACTGGGATGTGTCATTTCAGTTTTAGCTCGTGTCTTGTGTCTCTCTGTTATTTGTGCCTTCTGCAAACTGAAAGTTTTTTGGAAGTGTTGTTTTGCAAGGATTTATCCACTGATTTCTGCAAAAACGCACTGGACTTTTGAGTTATTTACAAAAGATTTATGTGTGTATTTCATCCAGGTGTATAGTGCAGCAAATTGTTCACTCTTGTTCTTAAATGACTGTTATTGCATCAGATAAATCAGGGAAATCAGAGTTCTAGGCTGAGAATCTGCAGCAGACATGTCTGGATTTGGACATGGCACTTTTTGGTGCAACAGAAAACCATCTCTGGCTATCTCTGTGCTCTAAAATAGTGCTGGATTCTGGTGCTTCTTTGTATGCCAGCACTGGACTTTTTTTTCAACTCTTTTGTTGTGATCTTGATAGTGCCCTGCTGAGTGAACCACTCTTTGCTGGCACAAACCCCTGTGCTATTTACTTTGCTGTTAACTACATCGGTTGCAATTTGCCACCAAGTTCTTTGTTTAAAATCTTGGTTAGGAACAGATCTCCCATGAGTGCGTCTTTACAGCTACTCTTTCTACTCTTGAAAAACTGTGCCAAGTAAAGCTATTTCAGTCAGGAAACAATTTTTTCTTAAGGGATCAGTCTCTGCAGTGCTGCAGTTTTAGCAGGACAAGAGACTTTTGTACCTGCAGAGTTTTAGTCCCTTTCCTACAAGAGCTAGTTAAATAGGTCACAGAGATGTTGAATTAATTCCCATGGCTAAGCCCAGGCTCAGGTTCATCTGACATAATTTGAGAATCTGCATAGAGTGCTTAAGTTAGTGATTTCATTTCCCAGAGCTCCCTGTAGAGTCACAAGGAGGCAGAGGTTCTCTCAAAGGTGATGCAGATCACCGAAGTTACAAGCAGGAGCACCACTGACTGCTGAGGGGACTTGCAAAGACCGTGCTTTTCTGTTAGACATCTCACTTAGGTATGTAAAATCAGGTGGGATGTCCTCAGTTGCAGCATCCTCTTGAGAAAACTTGCTCTCTTTCTTCTGATAGGAAAAGCTTACCCAAAAGGAAAGGAGGGTTACAGTCTCCCCATAAAACTTGTGGTCTCGTTTCAGGAGGAAGATGAGATAAAGCCACTCAGATGGAGGCCAGTTCCACCAGCCTCAAGAGGCTCAAGTTTGGGAAGCTGAAGGTGGTACGTCGGCGCTTGCTACAGCGATACGAGCATCAGCCCTTCATCTCCTGCCTGGCTGGTTTCTACAGCTGCCGGTGGAAGCGGTACCAGCGCAGAAGGACCGAGCCTGGGAAATGCTGCTGCAAGACGGTAAATTAGCTCAAAATCAGCACAGACATCGATTATACAGATATAGGGACAGGTTGGTCCAAGCTGACAAGTGGTTGATGTCATGGGCCAAAGGCATCCCTGCCCAACATCATTTGGAGCCCCCTGAGATGTTGGGTTAGTAGATTTTGGCTCTAAGTGATTGATGTATTGCTGGGTTTCCATGGCAGGCTCAGTTTGCCTGTGCCACCACGCAGCTAACAAGTGTGTGGTGCCAGGAAAGGACCTTGCACCAAACCCTCCAAGCCAGTGAAACATCTCAGAGCCATAGGATCAAATTAAAGAAGGAAAATTTGGGCTGAGTGTACAGTAAAAATTGTAAAGAGGGCTGCTGCATAGCACAATTCCCTCTCGCACAAGGTGGTTAAAATCCTGCTTGTTCTCAAAGTCATAAGATCAGTTTTCCCTGAAAATAAATACTGTAGAGTACACTTTTGAGGCCATCCCCTGGTCACAGAGGACGGGGGACAAGCTATCTCCATCTCTGCTTCTGGATGTCCAGCACCAAGCACGTGTTTTATGGACAGCCTAAAAGTAGTGATTGCTTTGGAGCAGATAAGGCTCTGACCACTTGTCTTTCCTCTCCCTCTCTAGCGGGAATGTGTGTTTTTCCCATTGCTTGTTGGAGCCTTCTGCTTTTCTCTGGTCTTTCTGTACATGTGGGGTGAAGCGAAAAACGACTACAATAACTTTGACTGGTAAGTACCATCTTTTTCTCCTCTCCTGCTCCTCGGGCAGGTCCCCAGGGTGGCTGGGAAGAGGTGAGCACCGTCCCCAGCAGCTGTGCTGCAGAAGGACACTTAAGCCACGAGTCAATGATTTGACTCCTCAAACTCTTGGTTACAGCATCCACGCTGAACATCCAGTGACCTCAGAGGTGCTCAGGCTCTGCCCTTTGCTTGGCTACAATTTTTAGGTGTAAGTGTGAATTTAGGAGAAAGGGGAGAATCATTATGACAAAAATTGTGAATGAAGGGGACTAAATAGTTATTTCCTTTCTTTCTCTAAGTCTTTCTTTTTTCCCCTGTTCCCTCTGAAGAAATGTAGTAGCTGGCACCAGAGGGGTTGCACCAGCTATCTCACTGAAAAAGAACCACATAGAATCACAGAATGGTTAGGGTTGGAAGGGACCTCACAGATCATCTAGTTCCAACCCCCCTGCCATGGGCAGGGACACCCTCCACTACATCAGGTTGCCCAAAGCCTAGACCTCCACATGCTCCCAGGCTTGAAAGTAAGAAATAACCAGCAGGGATTTATGCAAATACTTTCCTTTTGCAGTACGTAGGCAATGGTTATACAAATCTGACCCCTAAAATTAAATTAAAACTGCTTAAATATTAAGGGGAGGAAAGGTGTAATAATGTTATTTGTCCTTATTGAGCCTTTTGGGTGAAAAGTAAATCTTCCCTCTCTCTCCTTGAGCAATCCCTCTACAACTCCTCCATATTTCTGGTGTTTTCTGCTTCCAAACCTGACTAGATCTCCTTTTTGCTGCAGAGCCCTACAAAACCCCAGGCAGACAAGGTGGGCTGTTGGCCAGAGTCGTGTCATCTTACTGTTTCCCCAAGCTACCTTCTCTGCAGGAAGGTGCAGCTTCTTGTAGTCAGACTGGGAGCTCTCTGGAGCAAGGCCATCAATTTGGTCCTGTATTTTACCACTCAGCACATAGTCTGGCAGTTAATGCAATCATGGATTTGGGGAAGGAGGCTCGTAACCACTTTTGCATGTTACAGGGTAGGTTATTCCTCCCTCCTTCTTTGTTTTATTGCTTTGAACATTTCAAAATTTGAAGGACCAGGGCTGTTGTTCCCCATCCAGTCCATGTGCTAAACACAAACACTATTATAATATTTGATTGCTTTTTAGGTATAACTATGGGAACCTGGGCTTCTGGTTTCTCTGGTCTCTTGTTCTCCTGATCGTGGCTGCAATTTTGTTCATGTACATCACGCTGTTATTGGTGAGTAATGCTCCTTGTAGCTGATTGTGATTTGTAGTCCTAAAAAGTAAACCTAGGGATGGCTTTAACATGTTAGACCAAAGCTCAGCCTAACCTTGAGGGTGATCCCTAGGTAGTTGATACCTGGGGAAGACTGGGAACATGAGTGGTTATGGTACTTTCTCCTCACGTCCACCAGCGGATGACCAATTTCAGCTTGAGGGTCTCTGAGCAAGATGCAGTTTCTGTGGTTATTCTCAATGATTTCCCTTTGATAAAAGCTGGGTTGAAAAAGCTGAAAGCTGGAGAGGGACTGTTTACAAGGACATGTAGTGACAGGACAAGGGGCAATGGCTTTAAACTGAAAGAGGGGACATTTAGATTAGATCTAAGGAAGAAATTTTTTTACAATGAGGGTGGTGAGGCACTGCAACGGGTTGCCCAGAGAAGTTGTGGATGCCCCATCCCTGGAAGTGTTCAAGGCCAGGTTGGATGAGGCTGTGAGCAACCTGGTGTAGTGGAGGGTGTCCCTTCCCATGGCAGGAGGGTTGGAACTAGATGATCTTTGAGGTCCCTTTCAAGCCAAACCATTCTATGATTCTATGAATTTGTCCAATGTCTCCTTGAACCCAAGTGAAGACGTGCCAGCAGTGGCTGGATATAGGTTTAGGGGAAGCCAAAGATTGTTGTTCTGACAGTGGGGAAGCATGGGGCTCTGAGTTGCGTGGTGGTGGTGTCAAAGCTGAGTTATTCCTCTGATCTTGAAGATTAGAAAATGCTGATTAGAAGAAGGGAAATATTATCCCTGAAGCTGCCTTGACTCTCTCTGCTTTACTGGAGGGTTTCTCTCCAGATGAAGACTGCAGATGTGGTCACAAAATGCTCCTGAAGTTTATGCCCAAAGAGGCAATATTCCTGAAATCCTCGCTTTTCCAAATCCTGTGACATTTTCACTAGACTTCTGATCTGCTGCCTGCTTTGGTTACTGGAAACATACCAAAAGTAAGCGTCTCTTAAAATTTCTACCTAATCATCCATTTTCTCCATCCTTTCTCTCATGGGGACATCCACCCCCCTCCCCCCCACAATGGACAGATCTGCATCTGTGTTTCCACCCTCTGCATCCCGAGCTACAGGCTAAGAACTGATTTTAACTCCAGGGACTGGAGTCCACGTTCAGTCTCATGCCTGCTCCAGCTTTCATTGTGAAATGCCAGGTGTTAAGGATGAGGTTATGGCTTTGACTCACCTCTGTGACCAAGACAACCAGCTTTTATCATCAATTCCTACTGTTCTCGCCCATTCTCTGATGTGTCATCTTGTAGTCAGTCTGTAAATTGCTCATGGCAGGGAATCTCTTTTTGCTTTGTTCATGCAGTGCCTAACACAAATAGGTTTCTGGGGTCTTTTGTCCCAGCTGAAGTACAAACAAATGGTGATTTTATTCTAGTGCTAGCAATAAAATACCAATATGATAAACAGGACAGCTGCTTGGACGTGCCCACAGCGATCAATAGCTTCATAAATGCTGTGGACTAACTGAGCTCTGAGCAGGACAAATAGCAATATTTAATTACAAGGATTTTGTGACACCCTGGTGGCTCCAGGGCTCAATGTCTATTATTCAGCAAAGCCTAACTGGTTTTCCCTGTGGCCATGGTTTGGTGGTTACAATGCCGCTTTGGGCACCTCAGAGCTTTGCCAGATGTGCCCATGTGACATGGATACCTCTGAGATCCTCCAGAGGTTGGAGTCAACCTCTGCATCAAACTAACCTATCCTAGCAGATGATAGAAATGGACTTTACATGATTTCCTGGACTTGAGGAGCCTGAAGACCCCTCGTTATCTTAGTCATGCCCTATCTGGATCCAAACATCAGCCAGTGCCCAAGCAGTGGACTTTCTTAGAGGAGTTTCATGTCTTTGGCAGCATGGATATGATGGCTGTAAGCTATCAGGGCAGGTGGTGGGCAAAGTGAAGCCAGAAAGGTAGATGGAAAATACAAAGCAAAATTGGTGTCCTGCATGGTTCAGTTCAGTCTTGGTCCTACTCCTCATTGTGTAGACACATCCTCCTCCTCTCAGCATCTCAGTTCTATCAAGGCTAACAGCACTTGCCTTCCTCAGGAGGGTGAAACACAGATAAACCTGAAAGAATATGAGGAGTTTGGATGCTATCAGACAAGTCCTACAAAAGAAACACTTCAGAGGTGCCTCTGCTCTGGGAAAAGCCCTTGCAATGAGGGTCTATCTGCTCCTTGCTTCCATGAAGCTGTTAAGTGACTCACCCAAAGCTATTGGGTATTTCTAAGGGCACTTGCCCTGCTTGATTGCATCACGGTGTCATCGTGTCTCATTTGGCAAGATTGCTGTATGCATCTATGCTGAGCAGTGGTCGTTGGGAGGCATGAGGCCCCACACTGTCAGAGCTTTACCTAAATAGGATTAGGTCTGGAAGGAAAGGGGAGTGAGGAAAGTAATCACCACCACCATTCATGCTCCCACTATCTCAAAAGATGCAGGGCCATACGACAGTCACACACTGGCATGCAGTGTCTTATGATGACAACTGTGGCTTGGCCATGCTCATCCCAGGAGGGCTCTTTTCAGAGAAGGACTCTGCCGGGAATCAACCCTCCATCAACGTTTGTGGAGCATCCCTGTCACAGTGTCTGGCCTTCCCCTGTAGGCTTTGATGAACCACCCAGCAAAACACCAACAGCCTCACAGGCTAATAAATGCACCTCAGCCCTTCCACATCTAAATAAATCAATCGTTGTGGGTGCTATACAATAGCTGGATTGCTCTAATGCCTTTCAGACAACTGATGGCCAAATAAGTTGCCCCCACGAAAAATTACATCCCATGTTCTGGTTGAACAGTGTTGGATGGAGACTGTCCCCTACATGTGTTGCAGGAAGGACTGGAGATCATCACCCGGGCACTGTTTCCTTGTGATGTTTTGCATCAGCAGCCCATCACGTCAGAAAACTGAGCACACTGGTGCCCTTGTTGGACCAGAAAGATTTTCTAGCAACCAGTGGCTGGTCTGGTTTTGTTTGTGAGCACCATACCCTCTTCCTTAATGATGGCACCCAACTGGGGCCTGTGAGCCTGCTTCCATGACCTTATTGTGAACCACTGAAGCAAAAACACTTCTGCCCACCGGCCATCAGCAGCTGAACAAAACTCTGCACCACAAAGCACTTGCTGTCTGTGCAAAGACGCTCTCCATCCGCATGCATCATTGTAATTTTTTCAGACAATCAGTTTCAATTAATTCAATTGTTATCGCTCCGCAAGACAATTTTCTCATCCCCATTAGACCTCAAAGGTTAAGCTGAGGGGTCTAATTGCAGAGCAGTTCATGCTCAGTGGAGAAGAAAACACTTTTCTTGTTCAGTCTTTAAACACCAACATAATATTTTCCTCTCTGCAGTTCAACCACGTTTGAACTGCATGGTTCCAAGGGTTTTTGAGGGAGTGACTTGTGACTGTGCAATATAAAGAGGTTCAGGTGTGTTGTGGTCTCTGCATTTGTAGGCTAAGAAAGAACACAAAATAGTAGAGTGGCACTGAAGTTCAAAAAGTGATCTCAAACATCCATTCCTAAGAGACCAGGCTACCAGAGAGGTTCTGAGTTGCTGCGTTTTTCCCAGAAAGTGAATCTGGGGACTTGAATTCTGCTGTTGTGAACATCTAAGTGAGCAGATGTTTTAGGTGAGCTGAGTGTCTAAGCCTCCACGTCCTTGTGGTGGTAGGTTCAGAGCCTGCCTAAGCCTCACCGGCAGTATTGAAATCCACACAAGGTCGTTCCCATGCTGAAGCAGAGTGGGATTGTCCATCCTTTTGCAGCATAACCTTATGGTCAGTGCTCTGTTTGAGTCCACTCAAAAAGAGGGAAACAGAGGTGCAATCCCCCTTGCAGTGAATCCATCTCTCTTGCCACTGGGAAGCATCCCTTAATTACCACTTTGCAGCAGGAGGGGAGACACTTCCACATCTCTACTGAAGAAGAGAAGAATGCAAGGGTTGGAGGCTGTAAGATTCAGGGAGATGATGGGGCTGGAAAGAAGGACCTTAGCTCTAGCCTCAGCAGTAATAGTCAGACACATTCTGGTCACCTAAACCCACAGGTCTGTGTACCTGTATCAGAGATTCCCTGGATAAGTATAGAAGCGTTGGGAAGAGCCAGACTTGCTGTTGTTGGTTGTCCCTTTGCCTGTGGAAGTCCTGCTCAAGGTGCAAACCTGTGGGACATCACTAAGGGCAGCTGCTTTCCATGGAAGAGCATATTGGAGAGATCCTGAGGAAGCTTTTGAGGAGCAGGAGGAAGCTAGGTCATTGTGGCTTACAATGTTAAGCTTCAGGGGTACATGGAAAGCAAAGAAAACCCAAGATGACTGTGACAGAGCACATAGAGGATAGACCTTGCCCACATCACATCAGCTCACTGGCCCATCAAGATGTGTTCTCCTACATGACCAGCAGTACAACTGCAAGAGTTCCTTCTTCACCCTTTGAGTATGACACCTGGTGGTTGTTCTTCTTGTAAACTGGTAATGAGATGTTTCCATCCATAAAAATGAGCTCACCCTCCGATGGCATTCCCAAAAGTGATGCATCATTCATACAAAATTTGTACTGCAGTAGCAGGGGAGAGTCTGGTTGAGCACGGCCTGTGGAATAAGTGTTTGGCAGTACCTTTGGCAAGGACCAGGCCTTTGTAACACTGCTTGCAGAAAAGGAGCAAACTGTCTTTTTCCTTCCTTTTTCTGAAATAGCTTATTTAATTGGGGTTGGCTTAACACCCTCAGCAGTAATTCAATTCTCTCTGAACTTTCCCCGTGGTTACTCATCACGTTCTGGGTGTAGGATTCGATTAAAGGAGGATAACACATCAAGAAGCACTTGAAAGCTGATCTGTATTCTCTGCTGACCTTATATCTCGCTTCAAATCAGCGTGATCCTGGAAAGAGAGTGTCTTTGTAGCTGGATGGGAAACAGCTTATGTTCCTTTGTAGTTGTGTTTTGGGAGAGCAAAGCATCTTCCCCCAAATCTGTGTGTCTTGCTTTTACACAATCCCACTGTGTTACAGTCTGGAGAGACCTGGATCATAAATGATCCTTCTCAGTGGAGCACTGATGTCTACTGACAGATACTTTTCTTTAAACCTTGATATCTGGTGATACTGGTTGACAAACTGTCCCTTACAGTGGTTGGGAAGCTTTTCCCAGATGCTCAGATTCCTGACCACAGACCTGTGTGTTTTCATAGAATCACAGAATGGTTTGGGTTGGAAGGGACCTCAAAGATCATCTAGTTCCAACCCCCTGCCATGGGCAGGAACACCCTCCACTACACCAGGTTGCTCAAAGCCTCATCCAACCTGGCCTGAACACTTCCAGGGATGGGGCAGCCACGTGGATTTTCATGACAGCAGGATACTTCTCCTGGTGAAATTCATCACCAGGTTCATTGGCTGCTTAGGTCTGGGACAACTTGAAGAAATTCTCCATCAGAGCCGTGGAATGGCTTTCCTCACCCTTTTCTTCCTGATGTTCAGGGCTTCTCAGGTTGTTCCCTGCCCTGGCTGGGGTTTGCCCTGTGCTTCACCGGAACTCTCCCCAAGGGCTTTTACTTGCCATCCAGGGAAAGAAAGTGCCAGCCACTAAAAACTAGAGCTTTTTTAATCTATAAGGCAGTTTTCCCTGTTTTGAAATGCACCTGTCTCTTATGTTTCCTGTGATTACTGTGGAAGCATTGTATCCTTTGCTGTCTGCTCCGTATTTTTGTGGTGCTTTGGAGGCATTTTTAGTCCCTGACCTGTCTGCCATAGTTGATATGCCTTTTGACACAACAAATGCACAGAAAATAGGCTGTATGAGTTCATACCATAGCAGTTGATCTTGGCCACCATGTCTCTTTCAGAGTTTGTACTCACAAGGAAAAGTAATTAAAAGTACGTACCCCAAAGTGGCCAATTATCTGTTACCCATGAAAGGCCTTTGATCCTGCAGGGCAGCTGTGGTATGTGCTTGGCCATTTCAGAAGCACTTCTACTGTAGCAATAAACACTTCTCTCCATAGACCTGTCCTGCTAACAGCCTTGGCATTGTGCAGAAGGACCTAGAGTAAAGTGACTTCTCAATGCAAAAATAATTCCAGAAGTACCTTACTGAACACACTTCATCATCTTCTACCTGGATGCAAACAATCTCTTCTTGATTCCCCAGGTCCTAGCGATGTGTTTGCTTGCAGAAGGTCAGCAGCTGTACCTACACTGGAGTCACAAGGTGGGGAGAGCCAAGGCTTTCTGGTAACTATCATCCATGCTTTAAACCAATTGAGTCTGTGGTGCTCCTCTGCATAAAAAACATCTTGGATTACGGGAGAGAAGGAAGAGAGGAAAGAGGTTAATCTTAGGAGACTTCAGATACCCATGAGGATGATGTCTCCACCTGAGCTGATCACCCAAACTCCCTTTGCAGTCGGTGGAGGGAAATGAACCCTCCGAGGATGCAGTTCATCCAGCTGGTCATAGACATCTACATTAAGATGAGATGAGTCACACCCTAAAGTACTTTTTTTCCCCACTGGCTCTAAAAGGAGCCTGCAGTGACTCATTCAGGTGAATATGTCTATGTTTGACATGTCTACATGTGCTAGCATGAAGACAAAAGCAAAATTTTTATGAGAAACACAGCATAATTTTCTGTAGCAGACTCCAGCAGCAGTGAAAACTCTGGCTGCTGTCTCCATAGAACAGAAACTGGTCTTTTCCAAGGCATCCTGGTGCCTTATGCCTGTTGATCTTCAGTTGCTTTAGGAAATGCCACCTGGAGTTTTAAAGGTGCAGAAACAAATTCTCAGAGTTCTTGCTGAAAATGGTGCGTTAGAATCACCTTCTGTAAGAAATTCTTGAGGCTATGTGAGGCATTTAAAAAATAAGCCTCTAGCCATGCAGTTTAGAGGAGAAGGTAGCGTGACTACAAAACTTCCACTGGAAGGGAGTAGTGGAATATGCAGATACTCGATCCTGTGTTTCTTCATGGATCGGGGCAATGGATTTAAACTGAAAGAGGGCAGATTTAGGTTAGATATAAGAAAGAAATTCTTTACATTGAGGGTGGTGAGGTACTGGAACAGGTTGCCCAGAGAAGTTGTGGCTGCCCCATCCCTGGAGGTGTTCAAGGCCAGGTTGGATGAGGCTTTGGGCAACCTGGTGTAGTGGAGGGTGTCCCTGCCCATGGCAGGGGGGTTGGAACTAGATGATCTTTAAGGTCTCTTCCAACCCAAACCATTCTATGATTCTATGATTCATTTAAGTAATGGAAACACTTACAGCCTCTACTGTTGAAAACTGACTTCCAGAAGAACCAGAAAGATATAGGACAATTTGTAAAAAAACCACTTGAGACTGCATCCTTGGGTGGAAGAGATTAGGGATGGATTATTAAGGTGCCAGAAAGATATAGGACAATTTGTAAAAAAACACATGAGACTGCATCCTTGGGTGGACGAGATTAGGGATGGATTATTAAGGCATTGATCTGTGGGATGCCCCTGAAGATGGTTAGGGCCTTGGTCCAATTTCTACTTGCACTTACTTAGCAAATAGTTGGCGTACCAAGAAGAGCCTGCCATCACAGCTGTGCTGGTACCAAACAGAGCAAGAAGCCGAAGAATAAATAGAGCTACCTCCCCCCTTTTTTTTTTTTTGTTTAAAAAATGAACTCTCATCTCTTAACTGCGGGAGTCTTTGCTGTTGCTGTAGACTGTTGCAAAGCAACTCAAAGCATAAGGAATCTGTGTTACTGTCTCTTTTGGGTGGGATTAAATACTTCTGAATTTAGCAGGTTAAGCAGATGTAAGTTAATAATCTAGGCTCCATCTACATCAACTGAGAGAGACATCTCCCATCATAAAGCAAGTGGGAATGGATCACCTCTGGAAATTCCTCTCTTCTCCAATGATTATAGAGGGAGCCTTGAGGGTTGACTTAATTGGGTGCCCAACTCTTAAAATTAGTCTTGCCATGCAGGAAATCCAGTCAATAGCACTGTTGGTCTGGTTTTAGTCCCACTCTCCCACCTGGTCTCTGAACAGGCATAGTCAAGCTCACGCATCCCAAACTTACGGAGTTCAGCTAAGCCTGGGAGGCAAATGGATGGCACACCCTGTGCAGAAATGCTGAAGCTGATGTATGTCTTCTTTGTCTCCCCAGATTGGGACTTTTCTTGTCCTGGGCTTCTCTGTCACAGCTCTCTTCATATTATCGGTGCTCTGGGGAGATCAATGGAAAACCGTCCGCCTGTCGTTCCAGGTAGGAGGAGCTGGGAGGTCTGTTTGAAACCACAACTTTTTAATAGGAATATTTTGTGGTAGTCAGTAGAAAATATTCCATGAGATTGAGGTTCAAGCTATCTGATGTAATACATCTCAATATCCTTTCTTTTTTCTTTTTTTTTTTTTTTTTCAAAAATGTCACGGGTGTACTGTTAATTTGCAGGTGCCCAGGGCAGGTAAATCAGGTCCCTTTGGCTGGCAGAGTTGCTCGAGCAAGAACTTGCTCCCTACTCAGTACCTACTAGTTCAGCAGCTTTAGCATTAGCAGAGTTTCAGTCTCCTGCTACCCAGAAGAGCTTCATCTCCTGATGACTACATGAGTTTTTGGGGAGCAGATGGCGAATGCTGGTGTCAGGTAGGACAAGCTGTGGGATGCAGGAGGTCAGAGTGAATGGTCTGCTGGCCTCCTCAACTCTCAGCAGATCTGAAGATGGAGGCAAGAGCTGCCCAGTGCTGTTTAGTGTTAGAGTATCCAGGTCCCCACATGTCTTGGGAAGGAAGTGTGTAGGCTTTGACTACATAGCTGACTTGCAGATGTTATTTGGGCATATCACCCTCCCTCATGTGCCTTACTGCCTGTGAATGTTGGGAGAGGGATGCACATAGACTGGAAGAGGAATCAGTG